AGGAAGACACTTAAGGAAGGTCTGAAGAACCAATGGGAGATAACCCTGTAGGCACAGAGAGTATAGAAAATACAGAGAAATTCTTGTACCACTGCTCCTCTTGACTGTATTAAGACAAGGGTTGTGTCTGTGTATTTATGCACTGAAGGTCTCTGGGTGTTGCAGTTTAATACAGCTTGTTAAAACCAGATGTTGTCTTCTCTTCCAGCTGCTATGGAGGTCTTGGACGCTCATGTGTTGGTAAGCATTTGCCTTTCCCCTCTCCTTGCTCGACTAACCCATCCCACAATCCCCTTCCCATGGCACAGCACTGCCTGAAGGAGCCAAATTCTGCTGGAAGCTTCCCTGTGGTTACAGTGGAACTGTCACTACAAGGAGCAGCCTTTTTAATGCAAAGGGGATGAACCTATTCCTCTGCATCTTCCTTCAGCCCAGTGTTCTCCCTAAAGCTTTCAGGGGCGTTAGTTAGGGCGTGTGCTCAGGAGGAAAGGGTGGGGATACTGCCAGAAGGCACAGAGGGGAATTAACTGGGTGTACTGGGACTCAGTATCCTAGAAACTGCATCCCAAGTGATGCAGGGAATGCAGGGGGGAAACAGTGGGAGGCTTGGGAAGGAGCAGCAGATGGGTCAGTGCTTGGAAATAGGATTCAGGAAAACATCCAAGAGCTCTGTGATGCTGATAGGATGAGGCTGAGTTTTGCCAAAGTGGTTTCCATGGGACAAACCTGTGGCTATGCACAGTCAGAGATGCTCAGCAGCATTCATGTGTCCACCTTTCCCTTCCAGTGGCTGCCTGTCTCCTCCTTCAGCTCTCGGACACACTGACACCTCAGCAGGTGATCAACATCCTCAGGAGTGTGAGAGGATCTGGGGCCATACAGACAGTCAGGGTAATGAGGCTGCAACAGATAACACGTGTCCAAACACAAGGGAGAGCTTGGTCAGTCCTCTCCTTTGCTTCCTGAAGGGATCCCTGTCTTTCCAGCATGCTCCGCAGCTGCTCTCTGGTGTTGGAGTTGTTTCCTGC